AAGACCACTCATAAACTTCACACACTTGTCCTCTTTATTACCCAGACCATCATACATGGGACAGAATCTAACCAGGTCTTCAAACTTAGTCACATACTAAGCTACATAATCCTCTCCTTGCTTTAACTCAAGGAATTCCACTTGTTTCCTATGTCTCACATCTCGTGGAAAGTATTTCTCCAAGAATAGCTACTTGAAATTCTCCCAATTCACTTGGGTACCTGCAGCCATCATTCTCTACAAAGTACCTTGCCACCAGACCCCAGCCTCTCCAGAAAGCATGAAGGCAGCCAAAGTCACCTTTTGCACCAAAGGACATCCCATAGCTTGGAATATCTTTTCAACTTCAAAAATCTAGTCAGCAACTCCGTCAGGATTATAATCTCCACGGAAGCTTGGCGGATTATTTCGCCGGAATCTCTCCAGCCAATCTACCTCTGGTCGTTGGTTCAAAGTACCTAGAGCTTGAGCCATCGCTTGTAGAGCATCAACGATTGCACGATCATTCCTACCTCTTGCCATTGCTCTTCTGATCCAAATAAGAGTTAACAATTATACTATAATTAAATATATAACAAACTTAATCAATCATCACACTAGCATATCAACAAGTTACACAATTAATTCATTCCATCATTCATCTGCCAAACAAGTATAGTAGACTTATAACTCACGACCGATTAGATCGACCTGCTCTGATACCACTAAATGTGACACCCTTACTACCCCAACACATATATATTGTAACAATGTAAATAAACTAAAGTATAAAATTTTCAACGTTGGTAAAAGGGTTCACATAAAACCTTCATAATTGTTTTTCAATATCCAAAATAATTGAAAATAAAATTTGGAAAGTAAAACTTAAGAGTTTACAAATTGTTTTCAAAAGAAAAGGTACAACTCGAAATGCATATAAACAATTTATATCCTAGAATCCTTTGCCCTGATGTCACAATACTAGAGCACACCCACAATTCAATTGTTGACATTCTAGAGGCCACTCAAAAAGCCGGATCTTCCTCACCTAAAACATCCACAAATTATACGGTGAAAAAAGAAAACATTTATGTGTAAAGCACATACAAACACACCACAATGTAATCTCATCATAACTCATTACATAATGAAATATTTACAATTATTTCTACATATCATAATTCTATCAATCATGCATCAACTTCACATCACAATTTCACAATCACACCAATCCATCACAAATCTTGCAATTAACACTATGTCAAGGTCACGCCTGTAGCATCTCTTGCCCAAGGTCATGCCGCCCCCGACATAAGCATGAGGAATCACCTATACCATACCATGCCAAGGTCACTCCTGTAGCACCTCTTGCCCGAGGTCATGCCACCCCCGACATAAGTATTAATTGCCTCACACACCCCACCCTATACCAAGGTCACGCCTGTAGCATCTATTGCCCAAGGTCGTGCCACCCCCGACAAATACATGAGGAATCACCCATCCCATACTATGCCAAGGTCACGCCTGTAGCATCTCTTGCCCAAGGTCGTGCCACCCCTGGTCACAAGTGTGAGGAACCACTATCATATTCACATTCACAACTCAATTCCACAACACATACACAAAACTCACACTAAATAGTGGTTCATATACCCCTCAAGCAATTCACAATGAATCCACATCTAGATCATCAATTTTACCAAATAATGTAATAATAATATTTATAAATTAATATAAAACCATATTAAATCACCAATTTAATAGAATCTAAACCCAAATAGTAAAACCCCCAATTTTTCCAAAACCTAACTCAGAGGCACTTTTCTACAATTTCGTTCTCTCTCCCAGATCATCATTTTTACAAATTAAATATATATTTCTCATTCTCAATACATGCAAAATCTAATGGGATTATCAATTCCTCAAACAGAAATAATTATAAAATTACTCATAATCCTACGGGATTCTTCCTTTACCCAATCCCCTCATGTAACTTTGCATACAAATAATTCCCTTTTTCCCCGTAACTCGATAAGCAGTAGTTAAACTAAGCAGGATCTGGTGGGTCTCCTCTGCTGGGTTCCCCTTGGTCTTCAGAGTGTAGAAGAAAAGAAGAGAATGTAGAAAAAAAGAAGTTAGAAGTGAAAAGTGTGTTTTTTGGGAGTGTCAGAGTGCTCTATTTATAGGCATCAGGAGTCGCCAGAATGACCCGTTCCAAATCTGGAACAGTCCGTTCTAAACTTTTACGTTATGTATAAAATTCACATCCAGAACGACCCGTTCTCAAACCAGAACGGCCCGTTCTAGGGTTGCATCTAACCCACAACGGCCACATTTGAAATGGCTGGTTCCTAACTACGGTTATAGGCCTTTTTAGTAGTTTGGAACGACCCGTTCTAGCTTGGAAATGACCCATCCCGAGCTACTAAATTACCCTTGTTTTAATAGACTGGAATGGGCCATTCCAATTTGGGAACGATCCGTTCTGGGCTACTAAACCACCCTTGTAAATTTATGAAAAATTACTAAATTACCCTCAATAAATGGTATGAAAATTGGGGTGTTAGAATATGCCTATAATATCTCCCTAAACCGCTTGGTCAAAGGTACAACAAATAACCATTAATATGGTTGACTGATAGTGATTCTATAATAAAAGGAAATAACTTAAATAAGTTAATTATTATTTAAATTCAATAAGTTAATAATTGTTTAAATAAAACAACTTAATTATTATTTAAATAAAATAAGTTAATTATTACATTGATGAAGACAAAGTACATTAAAATTAAAAATTCATAACAATATTACATTAAAATAAAGTAAATTAAATAAGGTTTAATCTCTACAATGGTGTCTAGTTCCACAACGAGGACGAAATCTATTACGTCCTAGGTTACGTCTAATATTGTACAAAACTTCATGCGACAATTCAAAAATGCTGCACTAAAGAAAGTTGTTGTCAATATGAGTATTTTTATTACTTTCTTTAGTTATTATTAATTTCTACACTTGGTTTCCTAGTTATATTAATTTAATTAATAAACCTTTTTTCAATATATGGGATGACTGAGCCTAGATTTTTTTACTATTACAATATAGTAAGAGATAATAATCTAGAAGCAACATAATGGTTGGACAACATCCCAAGGGAAAAATGGATGCTTACATGGAACAACGGACGACGCTGGGGAGACATGATAACAAACCTAGCGGAGTCAATTATTGCAATCCTAAAGAAAACAAGAAACCTCCCAATTCACTCCATAGTCATGGAAACATACATCCATTGCAACAAATTCTTCGTCGAAAGAGGCAGGGGGTAGATGTCATGATTAATGCTGGATATGTCTACTTGGAAGTTGCATAAAAAACAATTCAAGATGCACAATCAAAGACAAACACTCATAGAGTGATCATCTTTGACAGAACAAGCACAAGATTTATAGTAGAAGAGACACAACATCTGGGAGAAGTTCAACCAGTAGGGAGATTTACAGTAAGGTTAGATGAGATATGGTGTGATTGTGACAATTTCCAAAAAGTTCACATCCCATTCTCAAATGTAATTGCTCCATGCTTAGACGCACACCACAACTTTAACATCTACATATCTCCCATCTACAACAATTCTTTAAGGCATATAAAGGACAATTTGGAGAACTGAGACACAAAAACTATTGGCCAACTTATATTGGCCCAACTTTGTGCCCAAATTTAGACTTGAAAAGAACTTCCAAGAATCGACCCAAGTGAAATAGAATAAGAATAGAGATGAACATTAGAGAACAAGAAAGTCGTGTAAAACATTGTTCCTATTATCACACCCCTAGTCACACAAGGAAAAAATATCCAACCATTGTTCATGGCCATCATTGATTTATGTAGCCTACAACTTATTTTCTTCAATGTATCGTTTCCAAATTAATGTTAGTAATTACTTTTTTTATTAATTTTTTTTATTAATATTAATATATTAATATTTATTATTAATTAACTTATTTTATTTAATAAATAATTAACTATAATATTTAATAAACATTAATATTTTATAATAATTACCTTATTTTATTTAATAATATTTTTATTCTAAAAAATTGAATCATATTAATATTAAAAATTATTAACACAAACTTAAATATTTTAAATAAATATATAAACATAATATTTTATTTTATATACAAATTGAATTTTATTATAATAATATAACATTTAATTTTAATTATATAATTAATAAATTTTATTTTTTAACATTTAAAAAAAAAAAGCTGCTGGGAATTCGGCTTCCCAAGAACTAAATTCTAGTAGCTGAAACACATTCAAAGTACCATCATGCAGGTCAAAATTTGGTTCTTCAGGGACTGAATTCTGAACATGCACAGTAAACATGTTTAGTTGGATAAATAAACTGTGGGAGTCTAGTTAGGTAATTATTTTCTTAAAAAATACTATTTCTAAAAAAAGATTATGTTTTCGTTTGGGAGCGTTGAGTGTGCATAGACAAAATTATTAAAAAAAACAAGTTAGTACGTTTTATTTTCTAAGTGTGTACATTAAGTGTGTTATTAGTGCATTAGAAGCAACCACCAATCTAGCTTGTGTATAGATCGAATGCTTAGGCCAATATTGAAACGTATCGGTGTAAGATACATAATCGATATTAAAGTGTCATGGTTATATTAATTAGTGCATCTTGTTAAATTGAGAAATCTTATGCCTATGAAGAAATTATCGAGCAACATGAAATGAAATTTATTATATTCTAAAGAGCCAAAAGAAAATTAATAACCCATTCTTAGCGTTTTCTGTTAAGATCAGCTTCAGTGACTAGCGCTCGAAACAATTTAGAAGTTAATTTAATTAATCTACTTTATTGGAACATAATCAAAGTTAAGAGCTCTAAATTTAGTCCTATCTACTCAAAGAACAAATAGGTCAAAGACAGAATTAAGCACATGAATAGCAAAATAGACACTACTGAATGAGTGATCCTAAATTATGCACACAAACACAAATAATTGTAAGAAACGAAATATCCATTTAACAACTAATATATATCATAAGTTCATAACATCAAAATATACTGTCATAAGTTAATAACCATAATAGAGTTGCATCATATGCAAAAGCTAACTGAAAATGTAAACATCAAACAACAATTTAAACCTACCTACTACCCTATGAGATATCATTCAAATAAAAGTTTGCAGGTTGCTGAGCTTTTAGGGAACATGGCCAATTCTTGTTGTTTTTGAAGTTTGTCCTGCATATCTGCGCAATGATGGATTGTCATGGTTTGTAAAGCTCCTGAGAAATGCATTATATATTTTGCAAATTGCATCTCACACTTAATGCCGGTATAACCCAGAATAGTACACTTCCTAAGCTTTGAAGAAATGCATTCAGGAACAAATTTTGGATCAAACTGTGGACAAGACCAAATCTCGGGAAGAACAGGTATCAGAGGCTTATTAGGCACCAAAGGCATATTAAGCACTAGAATTTGAAGCTTAGGGCAATGCTCAAGTAATTCAAGCACCACATCCCAGTTAACATATCTCTCAAACCCGAGCTCCATATGAATCAGGTTAGGAAACACAGGAAAATCGTCTTGGTGGTTCAACTGCAAAAGTTTAAGACAACATGAAAAAATAGATAACATTTTTCTAAATGAAGAACGCTAGTGACATTTTTTTTTATCGATATCTCATATAATGAGTCTTCTTATATTTAGTGATAGGATCTACCTAGTTTTGTGATTTTTAATTAATGGTAAATAGAGTATATATTAGTAAAAATGTCTTAGAGGGGTTGTCAATAACATTTCTATTTACCAACAATAACGAGGGATCCAATCCACCATACATTAATTTCTCTAAAAAAAAAAATAAATTTATGAAACTAAGCAAATTTGTCATTTTTTCTTTCATACCTCCAAGAACAATCGCAGAGATTGCACATTAGACATTGCCTTTAGAGGAACCTGAAACCCAAAATTTTTGCCAATATGTGCCCTCACCAACTTACACATGCTCTGATACTCTACAACATTGTAATCAAAAAAGACATGATTGGTTTCGAATTCCTCCAAAATAGGACACCCACGAAGAATCCTTGCGACATACTCAACCCCTTCAATCCTAACAAAATCCAAATGTAGCGTTTTGAGCCTAGGCAAGTCAATAGATTGAAGAACATCCACGCTTACTCGACACAGCTTGAGAACAACGAGCGTTCTACAACTGAAGACACCGCTATAAATCGGGTACACGCGGGGCATCTCGAGGTGGAGCTGCTCGATGTGGCGCTCAAGGATGGCCTTTACCCATACATTGAAGTATGCATTGGGAAAGATGTAGTGTGCAGCCGCACGAGGGGTGATGCGTAATCGTGCAAGCGTGAGGGGATGTTGCGCACTGTGCACAAGGAGGGTGGCAAAGGCAAAGTTGAAGAAGGAGGCATAGACACAGCCACCTAAGATTTCATCGAGTTGGATGTCAAGGACAGGGATGGAGCGCCATAGGGGTCTCCAGCGCTTGGAGAGGCTGCTTGTGGTGATGGCGTCGACAGTTGGAATAAAGGAGAGAATGTGACACAAGATGCCATCTGGTAAGGCACTGATCCTATCCTCCATTTGCATTTCAAGGTTGTTTTGAGGAACAGCCATTTGCATTTCGAGATTATTCTGAGAAAGAAAGGCAAATGGTGATACTGATCATGACTAGAAAGGTAGAATGGAATGGTTGTTCTTATGGACGGATTCTTAGGCAAAACGTTTCATGTGTAATTATTGTATGAGGATTTTCGGGGTGAACCAATTTACGATGGAACATGCAGTCTTTTTCTTCTTTATGCGTTACCGAAAATGCGCCTTGACAGAAAAGGTGTTGATAAAGAGATCAAACGGTAGGAGAAAAAGAAACTATGAGTAACTCATGCGAAAAGCCACGTTGATGGCGAAAATCTCGTTGGATGTGGTAATAAAGTGAACCAACTTGCTATAATGAGAAAGAGATAAGTGAACGGAAGAGAGAAAATTAGAAAGAAGGAAAAAAAAAAAGGAAAGATAAATGAGAAGAGTAAAGATGTGCTGAATGCCACCACAACAAACCTACACAAGATAAATTAATATTATGTGCAAGTGGTAAATAGGATAATGTATAAAATAATTTAAATGCTTAAAATTGATACAGAAAGTTATAGGTAATTCATCCTGATCATCATTTAATATTTTATTAACAATTCTTCTAGTAAGAAATTAGTAGTCAACAATAAACTATATTACTATGTGTTGCATGTTAACAATAGTCATTTTAATTATATATATTCAATCTCATCTTAAAAATTTAAAATATTGTTTCATTAAATTAAGTTGCAATATAATATTAAATATATATTCATTGAATTTTAATATTCTACCTGTTATATGGTTACAATTTTTGTCAAACTATTATTGTTGAGAAATATCTATTAATTTTTTGCTTATCACTAAATTTTGTTAGAGATTTTGGAATTATTTACAATACTAGATCTAGAACATCATATCAATGTTTATCAATTGTTATAAATTACTTACCTCTTGTAGATATCTTTGTACTGAATATGTTATCATAATGTTGGCTACATACTCACATGTGTACGTTAAGAACAACTCTTCTACCAGAACTCCTCCCTGCCACCACTACCTCTTGGATGAAGCAAAAATAATAGTCACAAAACTTATAGGAGTCTAGTAGAATCATGTCCTTTCAATTTATAAAACCACAACTTAATATCCATTCATCACAGACATTAAATCAATTAGACCTTGTATAAAAAAAATTGACACACTTACCTATTGAGCCTGACCCAATAATTAGATATACTTACATGTTAATTTTCAAATCCAAAATAAGATCACATAATAAAATGGGCTTATAGAGAAAATATATGTTAGGTAACATTCAACCCATTCTTAAGAAACAAAATTACACTAATTAACTATAGCCCAAATAAATAAAATATTGTAACATATTCTCCCACTTGGGAATTATTAATTGAGTTTTATTTATGTTGAAAATTCATTTTGAAATTGACTCAGGTTGAATTTGGCCACAAAGCAACACAGGTTGAATTTGGCCACAAAACAACACACACACACACACACACACAACACACACACACACACACATGCACACACACACACGCACACACACGCACACGCACACAGACACACACACACACACAGACACACACACACACACACAGACACACACACACACACACAAACACAGACACAGACACAGACACACACACACAGGCACACACATACACACACACACTCACACACACACACACACACACACACAAACATGATCAATACCACCAATAAAATTACAAGTCAAAAGCCATGATAAAGACAAACTATTCAAAGTTTGATTTACCAATGACCACGTAACTTGATAGAAGGAACTTGAAGAAGATTGATGTTCATCCAAGTCCAATCCGTCCAAGACCTTTTCACTCTTGATGAGACTCGTTTTGATGCTTGAAGACACCTTCAAGAAGCTCCAGTGGTGAAGGAAGCAATGAAGGAGGTTCTGCCACTTCAAGAAGCTTGAAGAAGCTTGAGGAACCAAGTTCAAAGGTTGAAGAACCTTTGAGAGAGAACCTAGAGAGAGAGTTCTCTACGGTTTTGGGACTCTTGATTGAGAGAGAATTTCTGAATTCTTTTCTCATAAATGTCAAAAGTGAGCTACAATGTAGGAATTACAAATATAAAGGGAAAGGTAGCTTGGAGAGCAAGCTAACCTTAACCATGGTTCACTAGGAACCATGGTGAGGTTAACTTGACCGTCCATGGTTTAGTAACTTATAGAGCAAGCTTCTCACTTAGCTTGCTTGGTAAGCAAGCTAAGGAGAAGCTTGTGCTACAAGCTTCTAAGCTTGTAGAAAATGAGAAGCAAATCTGGCCAAAGGAGGGAACCATAGGCTAGGCGGCCCAAGCTCATTTTGCTCACTTGATTTATTTCAAAAATGTTTGATTTAGTTTAGTTAGGTTCATCTAATGATGATGAGATCTAGCTAAATCAAATCTATGAAAAATTAGGAGCAAAATGAGTCTAATATGTAAAATTTTACCTTGGCCCAATTTTGGCCCAATTACTAGTCACACCCTCAAGCATTGCTAAATGCCACCCTTTTTCTCCTACTGAAAAAATAGAAAATGAGTGTATCAACAAAGGAGGTTAAATGGAGTTAAACTCTCCAAGTAACTCACCCTAGAATCAATATACAATGACTAATAAAATGACATAAAGTGCCTCACAAATACAAAGGCAAAAATAACCTATACAAGAGTACTATGTACAAAATATACACAAGTAGAACTAGGCCTTCTCTTCATGATAGAGTAGTCCAAGTGAAGAGTACCTTGGGCTTGAGAAGCCCATTAGTCTTCAAGAGGTCCAACTCTTCTTGTATGCTCCTAGCCATAGCTCTAGTGATTAGGCCCTTGGCCCATGGTCTATCATCCCCACCCTCTTGAGAAGGATTTGTCCTCAAATCTGTAGGGTCATCTTCCTCATCATAACCTGCAAAGGGAATAAGATCACTAATATTAAAAGTGTTACTTACTCCATAACCACTGGGAAGATCTAACCTATAAGCATTATCATTGATTCTTTGGAGGACCTGAAAGGGACCATCTCCTCTTGGATTGAGTTTAGACTTCCTTTGAGAAGGAAATCTTTCCTTTCTCAAATGAAGCCAAACCTAATCTCCTTCCTAAAAAATGAGGTATTTCTTACCTTTGCTTCTTTCTAAATTAGTTCTCTCATTTTGTTGTTGAATATGGTTTTTAACCTTCTCATGTAATTTCTTAACAAAATCAGCCCTAGATACCCCTTCTTTATGAAAATAGTGAGAAGAATCTGGTAGGGGGTATTAGATCTAAAGGAGCGAGAGGGTTAAAACCATAAACAACCTCAAAAGGTGAGATTTTGGTAGTCTTATGGACTACCCTATTATAAGCAAATTCAATATGGGGCAAATACTCATCCCAAGACTTATGGTTACCCTTAAGGACTGCCCTTAACATGGTAGATAGGGGTCTATTAACTACTTCAGTTTGCCCATCAATTTAGGGATGACAAGTAGTTGAGAACAGTAATTTAGTTCCTAGCCTACTCCAAAGAGTTTTCCAAAAATGGCTAAGGAACTTAGTGTCCCTATCTGACACAATTGTTTTGGGTAGACCATGAAGTCTAACCACTTTCTTGAAGAAGAGTCTTGCTATGTTGCTTGCATCATCTATCTTGTGACAGGGTATAAAGTGCGCCATTTTACTAAATCTGTCCACCATCACAAAGATAGAATCCATGTCTCTCTAGGTCTTGGGCAAGCCCAAAATAAAATTCATACTTATATCAACCCATGGAGAGTTAGCAACTGGCAAGGGTGTATAGGAGCCATGAGGCATTACTTTAGAATTTGCTTGCAAGCAAGCTATACATCTAGAGCAAAACCTCTCAACATCCCTTCTCATGTGGGCCCAAAAGAATTTTTCTTTTAAAAAGCTTAGAGTCTTTTCAACTCCAAAGTGCCCCATGAGTCCACCCTCATGATTTTCTTTCACAAGGAATTTTCTAATAGATCCTTGGGGTATACATATTCTTCCTTCTTTGTACAAGTACCCCTCAGAAATATAGAAACCTCCTTTAGGCTTTACTAAACACTTGGTATAGTATTCATTAAGCTCGGAGTCATTGGAATACAATTCCTTTATGTGATCAAATCCCAAGATTTGAGATCCAAGGGAGACTAACAAAGTATGTCTCCTAGAAAGGGCATCAGCCACAATATTATTTTTCCCTTTCTTGTATTTGATCACATATGGGAATTGTTCCAAGAACTCTACCCACTTAGCATGCCTTTTGTTCCTTGGCCCTTCAAATATTTAAGTGACTCATGGTCACTATGAATGACAAACTCCTTGGGAATAAGGTAGTGTTCCCAATTTTGAAGGGCCTTAACCAAAGCATAGAGCTCTTTGTCATAGGTAGGGTAGTTAACGGAAGCACCTTTAAGTTTTTCACTAAAATAAGAAATTGGGTGCCCACCCTGTAACAAAACCGCTCCTATGCCAACCCCAGAGGCATCACATTCTAGCTCAAAAGTTCTTTAAAAATCTGGAAGAGCTAGAAGCTACTACTGTAGCTAGATTCTTAAGTGGTCTTAAGTAGTCAAAGTTGACCTCCCACAATTAGTGTTTTATTAAAAAAAAAAGAACGAAATCATTACATGCCCTTTTATTATGGAAACCCACAACCTCGGGCAGGAGTTGTGGGTGAAAAGACAACAAATAAAAATAACTCGTGACAATAGAAACAAATCCCTAGCGAAAACCCCTATTCCGACAGCCTTCCAACAACACCATCTCAAGGCCTTTACTCTTCATGCTTCAGGAACGGTTGCTTGTCGATATTGGGTGTGTTGGTGTCAAATTTCAACCACCCGACATCTATAAGGCCTTGTACTTGAAGCTACAAGGCCTTGTATCGCTCCATAGAATGTCCCAGCCTAGGGAACCAGAGTGATAATCACACTGCTCCTCAAGATTGTACCATGCAGGTAAAGGGGGGCTGAATCTTTTCAGCGGTGGAAGTCATACCAGCATTGAGGCTTCCAAGAGTTGAGGCAACAACTCCGCATAGGTGGTAGGAATCTTATCCACCTCCTTCTCTTTTCCTGAC